GAAGAAAATATAAATTAGTTTGTTTATGTCCCTTTTGAAGTTACTTTAAAGTTGATGTTTGTACTTTTGGGCATATTTTCTAATAACTTTAATGTAACTTGAAAGCTTTCAGATTCTCTTTTCATTTTTTTCCCATTCTATACCATCTGATGTCTTTTCATCTTTTATACAAGTGCCAAAGGTCTTGCTGGGACCTTTCTTTCTATAGTCTTCACACACACACACACACACACACACACACACACTCCGTCTACTTTCTTTGATCTTTCTTCCTGACTTAGAAATTTTTGTTGTTTTATATATTTCATTTTCTTTTTTGCAAAATAGATGCAATAAACGAAGTACTTATTAGCAGTTTTGACTGAAAATCACGTTGTTTTCCAGGATGCACTATTTCTTCTAGATCATTATTTTGGAAAAGGACTTAAACACATTTGATCTGTTTCTTGTCTTAACACTGAGCTGCTAATAAGCCTATTCCAAATAACAGTCTTTATTTGAGAGATAATCAGATTTCTTAGAGTGTACTTTCATTACACTTATGGTATAACTAGTGATTATACATATGCAAAGTAGCTATTTACTACTGTTAGGAATGAAATCTTGAGAATCTAAAAACATGGCATATTTTTTAAATATATAACTATATGTTATAAATATATATGTGTGTGTATATATATTTGGATTCTTCTTCAGAAAAAATGTTCAAACATTTGGATTTTATTTTATTAAAATGTGGGTTGAAGATATAGCTCTGTTGGTAGAGTGCTTGCCTCACATGCACAAGGCACTGCATTCAATCCCCACTACCATTAAAAAATTTTTTTTATTAAAACGTCTAAAGCTTAAGATGCATTTGTCTGATTTGTCTTATTTTATCTTATCTTTATACTAATTACTTGAATGATTACAGTTCTGTGAAAGAAACACTATTTGTGGAGGATTTAGATAGCAGAGTTATCTGTTATCAGATTCAAGAAGTCCTCTGACTACTAAACAGATGATAAAACTTGTGTCATAGATTCTTAGAAAAAACCTTGCAAACAACCCTGTTGTGAGCTAGAAGGTACTTTATCTTATTTTGGCCACCTGGATGAGATCCATGAATTCTTAGCTAAAATAATCCTATTCAGACCCGAATGCCTTTGTTTTGCCTTTTGCTTGTTGGAAATATATCATTTTTATTTATTTCTAGGAATCTGAAATAAAATGAAGACCATATAATGCTTCAATGTTTTACTTATTTTGTATATAATATTATCTATGAGTAGGGTTTTATAGGAACATATCATAAAACATATACATTTTATTTTGTATATTTAGTTCAAACATTATTTTAATTTATAGTATTTAAGCTAAATTGGTTATGATTATGTTTTTATTCTTCCACTCTTGTTCATAATTCTGTTATTAAAATATGCTCTACAGTTAATTGATCAGAAGGGAAACACTCACTTTTGGCGATCACTGTTCCATCTGTTGTGTGTTGATAGCCAACAGAAACAGATGGTACTTTATTCATACCTAGTTTTTGTGTATACATAGTATTTTTCTTTGAATATTATATGAACTTTAATTTATAATTTGTTTTTAAGGTAGTTTCATGATTGAAAAACAAATTTTGGGAGAATTATATATATGTATGCATTTATATACACACACACATACACACACACACACACACAAATAAACTTTAGTTTGAAGCAGTTTTAAACAGCTGCCAGAAAGCTACTGGCATTTATTTCACAGCATAACTCTGATAATATGTAGTCTGACAGAGGTTTTTGAGGTTTGACTTAGTTGTCCTAAATTAACATTGAGGTTGGGATTTTACTCATGCATAAACATGTTTGTCTTTATATGAAATTATATAGGGAGGCATTTCTTCTTCACCTAACCATATATTGATTACTTATTGTTATTTGTATAAATGTTGATTTTTCATCAAAATAAATAAAAAAAAGGTGTGTTAAATTCAGAGAAAACAGTTCACAAATGAGTATGTGAAGCCCAGATTAGTGATATCACAGATGTTGAAGAACTTACTTTTATTTTTAAATTTAGCTCACTTGTCAAATAAATCATTCTAGCCTTAGGAAAATCATCTTGCATTTTACTTAATTATAAATTAAAATAACCCCATCTCTAAAGAATTAATAAAAATTGAAATATTTAATTATTTGTTTCAGATTAACAAATTACTAAAATGATGCTGGTAACTAAAATAATTTTGTTCTTCTACATTGCCTTTAATACATTCCAGTCTCTTCTGTGGATGTTTTTATTACCTCTTTTCAAGAAAATGTACCACAGACAGATTGAGACAGGTAACATAAGTGGCTCAGATCATCATTATTCCCTAAGTAAATCAAGTTCTTAAAAAATAACAAAAAAATTGGAATATGCCAAGATTTGAAATGAGTTTAAAAGTTATCATTTACTCCTAATACCTTAATAATTATTTTCAAGATGAAGTGTGATTTGGAATCCCTTAAATGGTTAATCATTTGGAACTTTAAGATAATGTGTCTTTACTACATCCTAAAGGGCATAATTAGGTAAAAGTCTTCCTTCTTCTACATATTATTTTATGCAGATGCTTTATTTATTTTGTTTCTAATGTAATTTGTATCAGCCACAACATATATTATGAAATAACAACCGTATTATGAATACTTTTATACATCTAAGTTGGAGTGAGCTCTTTGATGGTAATAATTTGAGAGATGCATAAAATGCTTATTTTTCTTTCCTTTTGCTTTTTTGTACCATTTCTGTCTTATAAACTTCTCTGATGATTCATTTAGGGGAGACTATGTTTAAATACCTTGCTTGTTGCAATCATAGGCAATTAATGAGTTTTTTTGTGCTTATAGATGCTGTCACATTATTAAAAGTAGAAAAAGATACTCCAGCTCTCAACATTTTTTCAGTCTTTCTTTTTTCACCTTTTTAGATGTTAAAACATTTATTTATTTATTTATTTATTGCCATGTTGCAGATCAAACCTGGGGCCTCACACATGATAGTAATCAGTCTACTACTGAGTCTATCCCCTTAAGCATTTCACTGATTGGAGGACTTGGTATTTTTGAATAGTTGTGTTTGCATTAAATCCTCTTTTAAAAAAGTTAGGAATTTGACAAATGTTAAGAAATTCCTGTAATTATGTTGGTAATAAGTCATGTTAGTCATTATACTCTATGGGGCTAACAAATTAGGTAAGAAGAGAGTGAAAATTTGTATTTCTTCTCTGTTGGGTATGATTCTCTAATTTACTCTTTTTGAAATGTGAAAAATCTTCATTGTACATTGTTGTGCTATTGCTTATTTAAGTAATGAAGCAGAATAGGAGATTTGCTTCTTGGTAATTTTACTCATCTCTACTTGGGATTAAATTATAAGTCTTGGACTTAACATGTAGGAAAAATCACTTAAGAGACTGGGGTTTGAGGTTTACCTCTGTCACTAACTGATGTTGTGACATTAGGAAGTCATTTCTTTGGGCTGCTTTTTTCAGAGCTCTGAGATGATAGGATACCATATTCTTTTAAACAACCTTGTTTTTCTAGCCAGAACTATGTTACTTTTGTTAAATTACTACATGAATATATCAGTGATTACCATTTGGTAATTAATGAACTTAATTTAAAAGGACTGCTTTAGGTAATTATAAATATACTTGTTCATTTTTAAAATAACATGTTAATAAAATATATAGATAGGTATAGAAAAGGGAATTTATGAATATAGAGAGTAATGTAAATACATCATTCAACAATAGAATTGCTGATTAGTATTTTACCATATGATGTAAATTGCAGTATGGGTATGAAAAAAGTTTCAATTGATTGAATTATATCAGATGTTAAAGATTTGATAGATTTTCACAAGTAGTAAATACAGGTTGATCATCTCTAATCCAAATATATAAAATTGGAAATGCACTCAAATTCAAAACTTTCTGAACATCAACTTTCAAAAATTTTCTCATTTCAGTCATTTCAAATTTTGGGTTTTCAGATAGGAATACTCAACTTGTAAAGTCTATGCAAGTATTATGAAATCTGTAACACTTCTGTGATCTCAAGCATTTTGGATAAAGGATACTCAGCTTGTGATTAAATTTCTTCCAAAGAATTGGAAACATAAAATTGGAGAATTAACATAAGTACTTGAAAATTAGTTCAAAACTAAATAATATATTGTTACTTCATTACGTAAAGATGGGTTGAATGAAAAGCATGTGGACATGTGTGAAGGCCTTTTAAGTATTCTGTTCTGAAGATCATAGAACTAAAATAAATAGTTTGAGTACTTTCTCATTGATAGTTCATTGACTATTCTGAAATTGTCCTGTACATATAAATTATGGAAATCGGATAATAGATTTCCAGAGAAGGAAAAAATAATTTAAACTTTTTGTTATTTATATTAGATAGTATAATTGGTTAATCTGGCCACTTATAATTTATTTTATTAAAACAAATTTTAAAATCTTTACATAATAAGCATTGTGTTAAGTTTAATTTGGTATAGAAATATAATATACATATTTCTTACTAATGTGTAGATGAATTTTTTCTGGGACAGAAATTGAAGCATTAAATAGTAAGAGTGCCACAGAAAGGAAAGAGATGAATACAGAAAGAACTAGCCCTGAGTATTCATTTGGGACTTGATTAATAAATATTGTCTCTGTTAAGGACATTTCTATACAGTTTTTTTCAACGTAAGGTGCGAATGCCTTACTAGGAATTTTTCTTAAAAGCCTTACTAGGAATTTCTTAATGCCTTACTAGGAATTTTTCCTAAAAATTTTTCTTAATTTAGTTTATTGGAATGAGCCCGAGATTCTGCATTTCTAAAGGTGCCCCAGATTATGCTAGTACTTAAGGGCGATGGTTCATCTTTTGAGAATCGAGGCAATAATATTTAACAGAGAAAATTTATTTTTATTATTATTTAAACATTAGATATTTTTGTGGATTTTCTTTTAGAGAACCAGAGGACGGAAACGAAGCTTTGTTCCTGAGGAAGAAAAACATGAGGTTGGAATAAGTTAAGCAGTTTTTACACAGTTCAAATTTTGAGAAATTTTCTTCTTAAAATTGTTTTCTTTATATCCTGATTTTGTTTTGATTTATTCTCCCTTGTATGGCAGGAAAGAGTTCCTAGAGAAAGAAGACAGAGACAGTCTGTATTACAAAAGAAACCCAAATCTGAAGATTTAAGAACTGAATGTGCAACTTGCAAAGGAACTGGAGACAATGAAAATCTTGTCAGGTAAGTTGGATGCTGAGTCCATGTCTTTTGGGGATTAAAGTCCCATGATCATCATTTTCTTATCACAGATAAAATGAAAAAACAAAATTAGAATAAGATGTTTATAAAAATCTTACTTAGAACAATGTTTCAGAAACAGATTTCATCTACTGATTAACTTTGCACACATAGTTATACTCTGGATTTAGATATAAATAAGAGTGATAATCTGGATCTTGAACACAAGAGAATTAATTTTCTCTTCACAAGAGAAGTTGACAGTTTTATAAAAAGGCCACAAAAGTAATTTGATTTAAACACTTTGTATTGAGATTATTGTTTTATCTCATAAGATCATAAAGTTAATATGCTCTTACTTATTATAAAAGTTGAAGTTTATTAAGGCAACCAACAATAAGACAGACTTTATTTTATTGGCAAGAGCTTCATTAGCACTTCCTTATTGCCTACCAAAATGAATGTGTTAAATGCTTCTCTCTTATGAAATAAAGAAAGGTGAAAAGATGGCCTAGATAGATTTTGTTTTGTTTTGTTTTCTTCTTTGTTTTTTTGTTTTGTTTGGGTACTTTTTCATTTTTAAATCAAGCATAATACTATTCAGGAAGCTTAGCTGATGCTGTACAATGACTATTCCTGAGGGCCCAGAGATTTCTAATTTTAGCCATTTGCATTTTGCTGAAATGAAGAAAGTACTCAGTTTGCTGGTGTGGGTGGTTAACAAAAAAAAGTTAATTTAAGAGACATCAGTCTTTCAAATCGACAGTGGCAGAGTTCTTGTAGCACGGTGAGGGAACTCTGTCTGATTTCTTTTAAAAATTGTCTTGGTAAAGTCCTACAGAGTTGACTGAGGACAGAAAATTAAACACTTAAAAAAGAATAAACTTATGTTGATGAAATAAATATATTAGTATAATTATGTGATTTTTAAATATTTACTTTAAAAAATGATGTTCTATGTTTTAGTCATTAAGAATATAATTTCTTTTGTCTTCATCAAATAAAGGCAGGAAGTTTTAAAATCTATTAGTTTTTTTATATTATCACTAAGAAAGATAAGGAGAAGGTAAAGATTTCAGTGAAGAAATACAAAGTGCTTCAACAAAGTAAGAAAGTACTTTCTTTTGTAGTTGATGCAGAATCTTGTGGGAGTTGTCATGAAGATGAAATTCATTTATATTTAATTAAAGTAGTTCTGAATTCAGGAGATATATATGTATAATTCTGATCATACTATGAATTATGTCAAAATGAAATCCCAAGCTTAAGTATAATATAATGGTATACATAAAATTACAAAAAAAAAAAACTAAAATATTACAATATTACATAATAAAAACTCAATCAAGGGAAATGCCATTGAGGTTGGGGATAGGGTTGAGGAGCATGATTAATTTGAAATCGTAGTTAAAAACTCGTGATCTTATTTTCAATTATTTGAACCTATACTAATGTCTATCTTCATTCATTTTTTTGAAATACTAGATTTATTCAGGCCCTTTTACTGTGGAATCTAAACATTTTTACTAGTTTTTATGTTATTTTTTGCTTATATTTGATCTAACCTAGGGAATAAATATAGCTTATATTTCAAAAAGCACTTTATAATAGGGCATTTCCAACCCACTATATTTTAGGTATCTTGAAAAAAAGTAGGTACCATTTTTCTTATAATCTTTATAAAATTTTTGAATAATATTTGCCTTTCTTATTTATTTCATTAGTTTCTGTTGTAAAATTTTCATTCCTAATTGCATGATTAAAACATGTCAGTATTTGGAATTTAGTGAAAGTCTTCTTGGAAGGTAAAGATATTTTTATTAACCTAGAAATGATGGATATACAAAGTCCCTTTCCTTGGTTGCCTCATAAAAAGGATAGCATCATAAATTTTCTGCAAAGATTTTTAAAGGTAATGAAGAGGAAATTAAATGTTTTTATTATAATATTTCTGAGAAAAAGAGAAGATAGATATAAAACAATGCCATAAAGTGTTTTATGGTTATAATATGATTTTTCTTTAAATATTTAGTCTAAGCACTATTGCTCCTGGATTAAAGAAGAATTTTATTTTGCATAGAATTTCATGTGTTTAATAAAAACAATTGTATAGCTAATATCTGACATTTTCCCTAACATTACATTTCATTTGGAGTTAACACCATCATTGCTTGAAAATAGTCCCCCTAAAATTCATATTTTTATGATTACATTATATATTAAGTATTACATTGTATATTAAGTATTATGTATACATATTCTTTTTTAACTTTAAAATATTATAAATAAGGTTTTATTTTCTATAAAAATATATTTCAGTGGAAGGTCAGAGATATACTCATTGTGTTTATCTGTTGGTTCTCCTATAAAATTAAACATTTTTGATTATAGTAATCTTTTATTAAATATGTTTTCTGTGTTTCCTCAAGTTTCTTTAAAATAATGTCTGCAACTTAGGAGAACCTTCTCTTTAGCATCTTTGATTTTGAAACCACACTTCTCTATGTAATTCAAGCTATATGGAAAATTCATATTAGTTATTATTCTTGCTGTTTCAGTTATTTGTATATGTTTATGTGAATTTATTTTCTTTATATAATTGGGAAATTGTGTGCAGTTTATCAGTAAACTGTAATTAGTAGGATCCAACTTATTTTTTGCTACAGCTTATCTCAGATATTTGACAAAGAATTTAGCATTTCTGTGCCTCATTTTTTCCCCATGTTATACATGATCAAATCATGAATAACTGCTAAGTGATGATAAAATCTTTTCTTTGTAAAATATTAGGACAGTGACATTGGTGATACAAAGGATACATACATGCTTGTGATGAAATGTGGTTCATAATTGGTAAATATATTTTCATTAGTAATAAATACTGATTGTTAACCTTTCAGAAAGTGTATGTATCCTGTTTTTATATAAACTTATTTCTAGTATTTAGGGGACAAAGGGAATTTTGACTACATCCTTACATGTTCTCTAAAATGATAAGAATAAATGGTTCAGATTTGGGAAATCTGAAAATTATCAAGGTCATTAAGAGGAAGATGATTTTTATAATGTCTTATGGAATTTTTAAAAATATTGTTTCACTTTTTCCATCTGCCTTTTAAATTTAATTAAAAGTTTTTTTGCAAAATTTTCCATTAAAAATAGATTCCTTTATGTCCTTATAAATATGCAATTTGAATGCTAAAGGCCAAATTGATACTCTGTGTTAGAACTGTGAGATCTTTTTCAGGCATTTATTTATTTTGAGAGAGGTATTCTTTGTGAGAAGTATGGCCCCATTTAATGATACCTTATTTTTGTTTCTACATTTAGTGTTCAGTAAGTCCTTGATAAATGAATGATAAATGCCTAATAAATAGACTCCATAAATTTTTGCTGCAACCCTAAAAAATTTTACAATTTTAATTTAATCCTAGAGAAAATTGAGTCACTAAATATAAATTTTTCATGAAAATATTTAAAAGACTTTACAATGTCACTAAAGTCTAATGGGTTTTCTTTTTTTTTCCTATGACAAGGTAAGAAAATAAACACAGATTTTAAATAATTCATGCAAATATGCAAGAGTAGAAATGAAGTGATTGTTCTTTTTGAACACTTTTGATTTTCAAAAGATAGATTTTAGAGATAGCTAGATAGCCTTTCTTCTCCATAAGTTTTTATTTAGATGTCATATCAGGAATAAGTCTAAACTTTTAAACCTCATATTTTATTTTAATTATGTAAATTCAACGTGACACATTTTATTACTTAAAATAAAAAACCATAGGCTAGAGACAAAAGGGTTTCTAAAACTAAGAACTCTAGACTCAGTGATTCTTCTCAAATACTATCTTTAATTTTATTTGTATTATAGCCATTTTTCAGAAACATTGAGATTAGGAAATGATCTGTGAAGCTATTCACTTTTACAACTAATTCCACACTATTAAATGCTTGCTAGATTCCCCTTATTTGAGTATAAGGCAAATTACATAGATATTGAATCATTTTGGTTACATACAAGGTTAGCATGTTAATTTGCTCTCTAAGCAATGTGGTTATCATTTTTATTTATTTCATATTTTAAATATCTGACTTCTTAATGTTTTCCCCCCAAACTAATTTGTATCATAAACTGTTAGAAACACCAACAAGAAATAATATATACTAGATTTTTATTTCAAATATTAGTCTCTATAGTTATTCTGATTCTTTTTATTATAAATCAATTTTTTGTTCTAATTGGTAAAGATATTTTTAAGTGGCCTGGGTCATAATTAAAGGGGTTTACTTCCTGAGATTTGATTAGGTTGATAGTAAAGCTAAAATTGGTTATAAATTTTGATACTATTTTTACAGAACGGCAGATCATAAAGGTTAATATTTAAATGACATTGTAAATGAAGCCAGGTGTGCATGCCTTTAACCCCAGTCACTGTGGAGGCTGAGGCAGGAATATCATAAGTTTAAGACCAGCTTTGGCAACTTAGCAAGACCCTGTCTCAAAAAGAATTTGGGGGATATAGCTCAGTGGTAGAGTACTGTGGGCTAAATCCCCTGTACCACAGAAACAAACAGAAAATGGAACCTAGTTTATCTGTTTTAAGAACACTTAGTATTACACTTGGTAGAATTTTTTAGTTATTTTATTTTGATTAAAGACTTGCTATATTACTAGCAAGTAATAGTTTATCATATGATAATCACATAATTACTAATAGTTTATCACTTTTTGTTTTAATAATTCATTTGCAGTGCTGGGGAATGAACACAGAGTTTCATGCATGCTAGGCAAGTGTGCTACCACTGAGCTATATATATCCCAGCCCCAGTAATCACTCTTAATAGTATATTTAATAAAACAGTGTATTCTTGTGCAAATATCATGTGATTATAAATTAATGTTACAATTGTTTATTATTTAGATACTTATAATTTAAAACTAAGAAACAAATATGGGTCTAAAATGGTTTATATATTCTAATACATTTCATATGCATCAA